AGTTTCTAACTTGGTTCCTACTGAACTTTCCAATGTAAATAAGTTTGCTATCGGACTACCAGCGAATTTTTGTCCAACGGTGAAACTAGAAACTACTATGAAAGTAGCCATCTGGGCAGGTAGGAATGTAGAGACCCATATAAGGGAGAAGGGTCTGGAGAAAGCTGAAACTGGAGAGAAAAAGTAAGTTTGAAGGATCTTTAAGGTCCGATAGGAAAAGTAGGTTTTTAAAATTTCCTTCCCAGCAAAAAGAGGTCTGGGGATATCAATGAGGCAAAATGGTGTGAGAAGTGTAGGAAGAAATAGTTCAGGAGATACACCAATGAGGTAACTTGCTTTAACTATGGAAAGATTGGTCACTACGTTGATAATTACACATAAAGCATGTGTACAAGTGTGGAGAAGTAGGGAATCTCAGGAATGACTCCTTAAATAAAAGCGAAGCAACAAGTCTGAATGCGCCGTTGAAGCCAAAGGTAAGAGCATTCCAAATGATCCTTGATGGATTAGACGACGTGGCAGGAGATCAATAATAGGGAGTTGCTTATCCGAAATACATGATATGAAGCAAAAGTCTCATATAGATAGTATTATGTGATGTAGCCTGATGTAAGAGGCATAATGTATGGTGAACTTGAATAACATTTTAATCGTTTTCAAGAAGTAATACAATACCTAATTATGTTATACTTTTCGATGTGTTAAGTTGCTATATGAATTTCTTGTATGGTGACATGGAGAAATGCAAGACAATTCTTGGGACAAGTATGAGTAGGTGTGGAATGTAGTAGAGTCCTATATTATCAAAAGCACAAGACTCTCACTTGGAACATGAAGAGTCACAAGGTTACTGAGGCACTATTAGTTGAATTCATTTTGTTCATTTCCTCATTACCTTTGTTTCGGTGATGACTACTAATATGATTGTATGTTCGGACCTTATTGTTCATTGAGTCCGATTAATATATGCATAGTAAGTTACAGGTTCAGAGGCCATGGTCGATTTAGTGTCCAACTTTAGTCAAAAGATTGAAGGGAAAGATAAGCAAAGCAACGAACAGAGGTATTACGACCGTCACTAAAGACGAAGCATCATGTATCTAGAAAAGCTACCACTATGATGTGAATATATCATATTAGAACAAGAATGAAGGTATCTTCCATGCTAGAGTCTGACTCTAGGAGACATGAGTCTAGCTATTGCATCATGCGATGGAAGGTCATTAGGGTATGACCATTCGGTCTATTATAGTAGTCGAAGTAAATACCTTATCATGAATTGAAGGTTCGTATTGATCAGTTACTCTCAAGTATCAATGATGAAGAACAACTAGACAAAACAAAGAGTAAACAAAAATAGAAGAACAAGGATGATCATAAAGATGTTTTCACTAAGAAAAGGTTATCACAAAGAGAAAGTTGCACAAAGTGAGACACCAAGCTCTATTAGGGTTTAACCCTAATAGTATACTATATATGATTACAAAAACAAAGATCCCACTAATTTAGGGATATCTTCTAATCTATGTAATTTTTGATCCTAATCACTATGAGTACGAATCAGATATATATTCTATAATTATAGAGTATATATACCTAATATACAAACTCTCAGTCTAATATACAAAACGATTACTAAGATTATGAGGATCACAATGTCGCTGATGAAGATGTTGCTGGTGCTGGTGCTGACACTAGTACTGATGGATAGCGTGATATGTGTTTGACTCATCAGATCATAAAGTCTGACCTTATAATCTCCCCCTATCTGATGATGTCAAAACTAATCTTCAAAAGGGTCATCAAGGTCATCATTAGAGAACTTTCAGCTTTTGTCAAAATCTCGGGTTTCAACCACTTAAAGTCATCAAGATGAAGATCAGCCAAACATTTATCTAGTTCAAGAGAGATCAACAAATGATAGCCTCGTTCTAGTTCTTTATGACACATTCCCTCCAAACAAAGATTGAACAAATGCTCATTTGGAGTAGTAGGAAGATCGTCAGTGTGTTGAAAGCACATTTGATTTTGACTATCAAAGTAGAAGATACCATGTTCTGGTTTCCAAATGAACATGTGTTGAACTGGCTCAACAACCACTGTTAGCTTGTTGTTTATGTAGACAGTGCCATACGGAAAGAGGAGTGTAGTATACTTGGACATTCTGGGCTTACTTGGTGTATTTGAGGTGGACGGATGAGATGGACCAGATGATGTGACACCCCCAAAATCACGGCCAGAAAAGACCGGTTTTGTTTATACTTTATTTCAAAATCAGAGTAACCTTTTAATAAAAGAGTTGCGGAATTTGTCCCAAAAAAAATATGATAAAGATTTATCAAAAGCATTTCCAAGGAAATGTATTTCATTAAAAGACTTGGGATGTCATGTTCGATACAGATCCAAAGCATAAACAATACAATATAAGCATTACTACATTATTTCATATCTACAGGCCTATATCTGTAATCCATCATCCAAAACATCACATCTATGCTCATGCGCCACTACCTGTAATACAAGAAACTGAGTGGGTCAGGCTGGGGAGCCTGGTGAGCACATAGGGTTTTCAACCCATAATAAATAAGTTTATTAATTTCGTCGACCAACAATAACCCGGTTACCCGTTCCCATTATCCTCACATTACGTCCCTAAACACCTATCATAAGGGACCTATCCTAAGGATCATCATCGAGATGGACACTACTGCTAAGGGGGTTCCTCAGAAATAAATGTCCTAAAGGCAACCATGAGGGGGATGGAGTACACCGGTGAACACATCGTTCACAACACCTACAGGTTGCGAGCCTGCTAGCGTTCCACTGGACTGTCTAGAAGAGTTCGTGGTCGTCATCTATACTCCGCTAGATGACTGGATCAACAACAACATCGAGGCCTCTCATCATTTTATCACACATCGTCTTATTACATCTACCCATGTTTTACCCCAACATTTTTGTAGATATAAAATACATATACAATTTAAATCATTTAAAACTTCTATAAAAACATTCATCCAGCATAGATAGCAAGTATATAGATAATATGCACACATAGCACGTAATATATAAAATACTTCATATCTATGTGTAATATGAAAGTAACTATGCACTCACTTGAAAAGGTGGTGAATCCGAACTCAGACAGCGCTTCGCTTCTTAAAAACAATTTCCTTCGATGAAACCTAGTGTTATTACCACTAGAGTTTAGTCTATTATTTGCTGAGACTAATTAATAGTCTGACTATTATTACTATTATATAACCAATAATAATAGCCCAAGTACTTATTATAAGTTGCTAATAATGTTACTGTAATTAAATAAATGATATATTAAAAATAGCGTAGGTGTAGCTCACTTACAACGGGTTTTATAGAAAATCGGACTTTGCTTGGAGCAGTGTTCCCAAGCCGAAAAGCTCTTCTTCTCGAAGCCGTCGAGCACTCTAGGGCTTCCGCCTCGTGCTAGGGAGGTTCCCTAGGCTTTTCGGGGGGTTTCGGGGCTAGAGAGAGGTTCTAGAGAGAGAGAGAGAGAGAGAGTAAAGAGAAGAAAGAATGGGAAAAGTGTGAAGGAAATGAGGGTGGGAGAGGTTCTATTTATAGGGTGAAAATTGGCTGAACTTGGTGCCACATGTCACCATCTAGTGGCAAGACTTGGGGAGAAAGCAATGGCCAAGATTGTGCCACATCACCCATTTTTGCGCAACACACTTCCGAATTCTAAAATTTGTAGCTTTCACATACGACCTCCGTTTTTGATGATCTTTATATCTACGCGTAGGTAATAATAAGATCTACAACTTTCATTTTGACTCCGTTGGCTAATTCTTGACCTATCTTAAATTTAACAGTACAACGAGATTATATTGTTAAACGTCCGCGTAAAATTCATAACTTCTACATACGGACTTTGTTTTCATCTGTCTTTTTACCGTTGATTTCCTATTAATGAAATCTTCAACTCTCATTTAGGTCGCGTAAGCCAAAAACCGCTTGAACTAAAATTCAAGTTTCGGGTCGTGCACTGCTAAGCCGAATCTTAGAAAAATCATAACTTCCTCATACAAAGTCAGATTTGGGCGTTTTTTTATGGATGTTCTTGGTTTAACATATAATACAACTTTGGTTTAGATCACTAAGACTAAAATGTCCTTCATCGTAAATTCACTATTTACATCTCTCGGTGCCGTGCCGGTTTTTGCCGTAAAACTTCGGCGAGCCATAACTTCTTCGTTATAACTCGGATTTTGGCCCCCGGAATCCTTTTTTTGACCACTACAACTTTATATAAAGATATCAGGCTTATTTCATACTTTAATTTTGATGCTTATTTTTATTCTTTATTAATTATACATTTATAATTAAATAATAAGCACATAAATACACATAATTCACATAATACTCAAATATTTCATCTTTATTACTTAAAAAAGTGTTACAATGGTTGACCTAGACTATTACATTGTCAAAAATGCTTAGCCCTGAAACCCGGACGTTACAGATGAAGACACTAAGTTCAGCTTCTTGACTTTGTTAACAAATTGTTGAATTGCCAAATTTACCCCCTGAGCATGAACACCTTTATGTTTTGAAATTATCTCCTAAATTTGGATCCACTCACTGTAGTCATATTTAACTAACTCACGATAAAAAAACAACTTCATTGTATTCATACTCTACCTTCTTCTTGATCAGATGCATTTTGAGTGATTCATCCTTGGGTTGGGAGCAACTGGCCTTGATGATGGGATCAAGTTTATATCTTCGAGCTAGAACATCTCCAAATTTCTTCTTGTTAGTTCATCATTCAGCTCAGAAACCTTGTTTTGTTTGGCAACATCAATTTTGAAATGCTGAATATTTTTATTTTAAACATTAATCCTTTCATCAGTTGAGGCAAGGATTTGAACAAGTTTGATGGATCAATGTTGATCTCTTCTTCTTTAAACTAAAGAATTATGTTGCAACATGATTTATTTGACCTCCTCATTGGTTATTTTCTAGTTCTCTGCCAGTACTTCCAAACCAACTGTTAATTTTCTTTTCTTGGAAGAAAGAAGGGATGAAGAGCTACCAACAATTGAGGAACTTCTGGCTTCAACATCATTTGCTCCCCATAAGAAGGAATCCCTTATTTTTCTTGGATTGAGCTGATCATCATCACACTCAATGTTATTGTGAGTTCCTTGAGGAATCTCCCTCTCAGAAGATGCATCAGGATAAACAACACTTAGAGGAATAGTCGAAATATCAGTATCTACCATGAATTCCATATCAAGAAACCCTAGATAATCATCATTATCAGTCTCAGGTTGTTCATTATCATATTCCAGCTTAGGATGATCATTACTCATTGTTTTAGACTGAATAACAACCAGTTCTCCTTGATTGTCCACCGTTTCTGATTCAAGCTGTTTTGGTTGAAATGGAATTGCAGTTATCGTCACTAGTTATTGATTCTCCCCCTTTTTGGCAACATCAATTTGGGAATGGGACTTATGAGGTGGAGATGGAATGCAAGGTAGGGGATTTGATGGTCGTGGTGGAGGATTATTATAAGATGGTACTGGTGGTGGAGGTGGTTGATCATTGCCTGGAGATCTAGGGGAGTGTCTTCAACCATCTCATCATCATTATCAAACAAGTCCACTATACGTTTGATGTTAGCAACAACACTATCAACTTTGGTCAGTATTTCTCTAAGTGACTGAGTCATATTGAATGAATAAGGAGACCTGAGAAAGCACAATCATTTGGAAGTCATAACTCGACTCCCCCTGAAAGGTAGGAGTAGGTTGTTAGATTTGGAGAACTTACAACTTGAATAAGTGGAACATCTCATTGATAAGTTTAAATGTTTATGATTCAGAAGATAACTACTTCTCCTTGATAAGTTTAATTTGTTTATGATTCACCCTGATATCACCTCAGCGTGATTAGAGCATCCATTTCTCTCCTTTAAACTTATTCTTCTAAAAACCTAACCATCGACACAGAGTTTCAAACTTTCATCAGTGTGTAATTTTGCAAAGTGAATCGTTAAGTTTTTAGAAGAATAAGTTGAAGGAGAGAATTGGATGTTCCAATCACGCTGAGGTGAAATCAGGGTGAATCATAAACAATTTAAACTTATCAACGAGAAGTAGTTTATCTTCTATATCATGAAGTTAAGTTTCACTCTAGAATTTAAAGAACACCATAAATTCATTTAATATGGTACAATACAATAAAATAATAAATACGAGAAATAATAAAATAATAAGGGAACAAAACAAACGAATTAGTCAAACAAGGAAGTTTTCTAAAAATGAAATATGTGCAACATTTTCAAAAAGATGATTAAGACCCAATCTAGTAGATCTTTTGAATTGAAAAGCCATAAATAAGTTTCCTTTCTCTAGGATATCTACCCCTCAACACTATCTATAAAGAATACACAAATATGATCAAATGCATCAAAACAAAACACAATTTACAACATACAAAGAGAGGAGATGTCCTTAATCATTGATGTATTACAGATGGATTCCAAGCTTCATGTTCACTAAGAACAAAGGAAGAGGAAAAACTAGTCTTTGTAACTAATGAGTTAATAGGATCCAATCTTTGTAACCATTGAGTTATGAGAGTCACGAAGGAAAAACTCGAAGGTTCCATTCTTTTTGATCGATGATGGAAGAGATGAGGAGAATTGTATCATTGAAAAGGTCTTTAGATCTCATATGAGAATTGATGTGGAAGTGAGAGTGTCTAAGGAAATTAGACATGCCACGTTACACATATTTGCTTCATACCATCACAATAGAGATAGGTAACAAGAGAAAGACGAGACCAGTGTCCAGAAAACAAGTTCGAACACAGTTATTTCTTACGAGTCATCAGTGAGACACTTCATATATTTCATCATGATCATTAGTTTCAGGGAGAGAGAAGTTGGTGCTAAACAAAAGATGCAGAGCCAGCTCCAACCAACTCTACTTTGAAGATCATGCACCAAAGGTTGCTACATTGATACTTTCCTAAAGGACAAATCAATGATGGTCAACGTCAAGATGAGGACAGAAGATCCTGATACTTAGAGAGTGAAAGAGAAGAAAACACATAGTAAATATTAGTAGTACAATGTACAATGTAAACTCCTTTGGTAAGATGAAGGCTAGAAAGGATTTCTAAAGCATAGATAGTCTTTTACTCAAAGCAATAAAATAAAGGAAATTTATCTTCAGAGTTCAAAAAGAGCAAAAAAAACAAGAAAAAAACAGTATTGTCAAACAGAAATAGAATCAAAGCTTGTAAATGTTATTGTTCCTGAATGCAGTGAGCACAACTGCGTTCCTTGAGTTCATGAATTTTCCTTCATTGCAGTCGAAAAGTACTTTGTAGGCAATGTCACGCAATTTATTGATTGGAATGAGATTGTTTTGAAGGCCCTTGACGTAGAACACATCCTTTAGCTCAACTAATTCGCACCTTATTGTATCCAGGTCTTTAATTGTTCCTTCAATACTATCTCCAATAATGACAATAGGACCATATTTATCCACAAAATTATTCAAGAGGAACTTAAGACCTTCCATATGTCTAAAGCATCCACTATCTAAGTACTAGACATGCTTCTAACCCTCACGAGTAGAATAGGGATTCTAACTTTTCATTTTTGATTCCTTGGCAACTTGATAAGAACCAGTGCCATATTTGTTGAAACTGCTATCAGGGGCTTAATTGACAAGATCCATAAGACATTTAACCTTTAGTCCTTCACCTTCAAAGGACTACTCCTCTTTAACCCATTCCTCAAATTCCTACTGCTTTGTGATAAAAGCTCTTAAATTCTTCATGTGGGCCAGTGGCTTCTTGTACAGGATATCATAGCTTTTAGGGATTTCAGATTCTCTTTTTTCTTTACATTCCCTGGCAAAGTGGTAAGGACTTCCACAATTGAAGCAATTACCCGAATTTCTTTTCACAATGTTATGCTTTCTCGCTGAGTTATTTCCCTTGGGCTAAAACCTTCTGGATCAATTGGATCTGCTTTCTTCATAGCGTTTAATACTGTGTTCAGCACTAGCAACCAGTTCATCAAGGATTTTATCATTATTTATTTCACCCTGATCAGAATCATCAGTCGTTGATGAGATTGGCTACTTTTTCTGGAGATTAGGGCTACAGATTTTTCTTTGTTGGAGTCCCTCATGATGTCTTTACAATGAGCTTTAATTTCTTCATAATTTCATAGATTTCCAAACAAAGAGTTGAGATCCATGAGGTTTTTTTCTCACTATTCTTGAGAACATAATCATGATGTTCCCAGCTTTTCCCAAGATAATCCAAGAACTTCAAGACCAACTGATAGGAATGCTTGACAATCCCCAACTTATGCATATAGTTGCCCAACCAGTTAAACCTATTAAAGGTTTGGGTTAGAGACTCACTGTGCTAAGCAAACAAATGCTAGTATCTCCGGTTGAGATTGTTGATGGGTGATTGAACTGCCACACTACCTTCATAAGCCATACTTAGCGTTTCCATAATCTCCTGAACAGATTCATAGTTCTAAACCAGATGATACACATGATAAGGAATAGAGTTTCCTGTGGCTTCCCTTTCCTTAACATCAAGACTGATAAGTCTTTTGTCATCAATTTCATAGCTAGGCTTTGGTTTTTGTTTCATGGGAGCAGAAGGAGCATTGTTAACCAAAAGTTGATACATGGGAATGTGTGGACCATTATTGGTGATGTTGAGCATGTCAAATTCCATGGTTTGAAGAACAACCATAACCTTTGATTTCCACATTACAAAATCATGTTCATCGATAGGAGGGATCTTGTTTACAGTAGACGAATTTGGACTATAGGAGGAAGACATGATAACTTGAATGTATTGTAAACCTATTGTGATATCAATTAAAGTTCGTATTCATCAGATACAGTCATATATAAATGATGAAGATCAAGCAAACAAAATAAAGAGCAAACAACAACAGAAGAACAAGGATGATCACAAAGATATTTTCACTAAGAAAAGGTTCTCACAAAGATAAAATTCACACAAAACGAGGCACCAAGCTCTATTATGGTTTAACCCTAATAGTATACTATAAACGATTACAAAAATGGAGATCCCACTATTTTAGGGATATATTCTAATTTATGTAAAGTCTGATCCTAATCGCTCAGATTATAGATCAGATATCTAATATATAATTATAGAGTATATATACCTACTATACAAACTCTCAGTCTAATATACAAAATGATCACTATGATCATGAGGATCACATTGTTGCTGATGAAGTTGTTATTGGCGTTGGCAGTGACACTGGCGTTGATGGACAATATGTTATGTGCTTCACTCATCAGATCATAAGGTGTGACCTTACATGAATCAAGTGCATTTGAGAAGGAATAAGAGTGTATGATAAATATCGAATTTATAATTTGAAGGTCAGGACTGAAGATCCAGAAGATAATGAAGAGCAGTTTGAGCACCACCAGCAACTAATAAGTCCAAGACCTTGCTGAGGAAGGCATAACAGTTATGATTATACTTTACGATGGAAAAGTGACTTTTAGGTCATCATCTAACCCTATTTTGCTAATGAGTCTAGGATGTAATCATCCTAAGCGGGAGATAACTGTAACGCTTGCCAATTTGGGCTAGACACATAAGATATAATAACTAATAACTATTTGTCTACGAGCAAAAAATAGATGATTTTGATAGAAGACTATTTAAGATAAATAGTCTTAACCATAGTTATACTAGATGTGGCAAGGATTCTGTATATATAAAGAACTCTGAAATCCGACTTTATATGAAGAAGTTATGCTTCGTTAAAGTTTCACATTAAACCGAAAAGGTTATGCAGATCGTAAAAACTGAACTTTAGATAGGTTACTTATTAGCCTAAGTAATCTAAACAAGAGTCGTAGCAGTCGTATAACCGAGAGTGTGCATATAGAGAACGTCCAAATCTGACTTCATTTGAGGAAGTTATGATTTTTTGAAGATTCAATGTCATTGTGTTAGCACATAAATCGAAATTATAATCGGTGAATTGTTAGGAAAAATAATCAAAATGAGAGTTGAAGATCTCATGATTAGAAGTGTTTCGATATAAAGACAGTCAATAACGGAGTCCATATGATGGAGTTATGAATTATGTACGTACTTTAGCAGTCTAAAATGGTCTAAATATGAATTTTAGTTAGATTTAGAATTAGATGTTGAGGCGTTAATGAAAGTTATATAGCTCGTCTATAGGATTCCGTGGATATAAAGAATGTCAAAAATAGATTGCGTATGTGAAAGTTATGGTTGTTCGAAGATCTACAACAATTTACCTGACATG